TGCAGTAAATGTGCCCTTTATGTTACCTCTAGTTCAAAGGTGGGCAGTTTGCAAGCCATTTCATGAACTTAGCTATTCAGTTTTCTGCAGTGGGGCCATCCCCTCCCATTAATCAGCTGAATAGGGGAAGAAAGGGGGTATATCTCTAGCTAGATTTTTTTGATTGCCTGTCAATCACTTGGTTGCTGCACAGGCATCAGAGAATACATGTAACTTTTGTCTCCTAAAACCCTGATGCAAATGGCCTCATATGCAGCTAATATGCTTAGAGAAAAGCTTGACAGCAGAACAGGGAGGGGGAATCTTTGTAAGACACTTTATACAGTTTTGCTTATCTATAAATATAAATAGAGAAGCCAAAAGACAAAACCCTTAGAGTTAAGAAAGCAAAAAAGACACTGATTCTTTAAAACAATACAATAACAATAATGGTTTTTCACTGGAGTCAAGGAATTATAGGGTGTCAAAATTATATTTATATTGTGACTACATAAACATTTTCTAAGATCTACACCTGTATGATCTATTGCATTTGGTACCAGGGTGGATTAGAAGCAATTGTTCCATAGTGGTTATTATGAAATAGTGCTCCATACAGCCAAGTAGTCCAGGCTGGCCGTGACAACACTCATCTCATGTTCAGAACAATACAGAGGTGAAAGACGCTATTATGTGCAAAGGCCCTCATAAAGCTGGAATTTTCCTACCTAGGACAAACTGGAGAGCGGCTTACATTCTTGGAGCTCCATTGGTAGATATGGCTAGTGGGCAATTAAGGAAGGATTAAGGTGATTTCAAGTTGAGATTCTTTCTTGATGATGGCTTCACTTCCCTTTTACTGGCAGTGGTACAGAAATGGTTAGGAATTGCTGCTTCCAGGGATTTTTAAAAATTTCCCAGTTTAGCCAGCAGTCCTGGAATTCCCAAGAGGTCCAGTCAAACAGCCAAGGCTAATCCTGCTTACCTTCCAAGATGAACAAATTCACTGTGCAACATTACCTTCAACCATACAAACTATAGAGTTCCTTTCTCATTACATCTGTTTTCCATCTATCAAATCATTTCTATGTTTCACATAAGGTTGGAAGCAGGCTTGTGAAACAGCTGGATTTTGTATTTTGCAAAATTGGGGGGCTGACCATTATTCATTCCATCAGCCCTTCTGAAAATCTTAAGGGGTTCTTGAAAAAGTACCTAGATTATTGGCACTCCTCTCTCTCATTTCAGCATAAGACCATATGTAAGTGCAGATTCTTTTTGCTGTTTGCCATCTTGCTTGTTGAAGAATTCTGCAAAATATAAAGCTTATGTGCAAATTTTGTGATGATGAGTGCCTCATAAAGGTATTCCCTAATACTGATTTTGGATTTTCATTTTTGGAATGAAAATCCAAAACTGTGTGACTACCTTTCCTTTCAGAGTAGAAGAAGGAGATTTGCACCAACAACAGAAATAATGTGGTACCACCAAACACTCTCCCACAAAGTCTTCCTGCTGCTATTGTTTTTAAGTCCAATTTTCCAAGGAAATAAAATAGCCTTGCTTTATTTTGTTGTCTCTAATAAAGCCAGTATTGTCCTCTAAATGATTCTCTTAGAAAGAGAAAAGTCATGACTCCAGGTTGTCAGTACTTAAAGATCCCTTCCAAGACTTGTTTGATAAACCTGCTTTGAACTTTTCTAAAGTTGAGGTTTTCTCCTTCAGTACAAAATGCGTTTTAAATTATTTTACTGTCTTGGATTTCCTTTCTTGTTAAGGGGAAAAACAACAACCCAAATAGTCCTTTTAAATTATTGCAGGGATTTTGGTAAGGTAAGAACAAAGTTAGTATGATTAAGAACATTTATAAAAACTCACCCAGAAGCCAAGTTAAGCAAGATTAGAAACTAACCCAAACTCTTCTCTTCGAAGGCTGAAATGAACTGCTTTGTTCCTTCTTACAATGTTTATTAACATCAAAGGGAAAACTAATGAAACACCATTTTAGCAAATCTCTAATATAATTAAAGTTTGGAATAATATTTTTATAAAGTATGATTGGAACTCTAAGGAGCTGCTCAAAAAACTGAGCTGCATTCAGTAATTGGCTGAGTAGCATTTGTGGTTATTTTAAAATCAATTGGGATGGCTTTTGGCAGAGTGAGAAGCACCCCCCACAGTTGTTTTCGTATGCCATGAAAGGTTAGCAAATTGATCATTATGGATTTGTTTACTGTAGTCTTAATGCCAGAAACTGGAAGAGCTATTTGTGTGTTCCTCTCTCATGGGCCATAATACCATGGCTGGCCTTGGGTGCTATATCCTGTCCCTGGTACTAGTTAAATTAACAGGAACTGAAACTCATTCTCACTGGGATACTTGAGAATTGTCCTCTGGTGTCCTCCAGATGTGTTGGGACAACTGTCATTAGAAATTCTGGGGAAGGCTACTTGTGAGTCACATCCTATCATTTCCTGTAGTGGCTACCTCATGGTTAGAACATGGATCTTATTCATCTGTCCTCAGTACTGCTTTCTCCAAAATGTATCAGTTTGCAACACATAAAAATAAGAATTGAGAAAAATATTTCAGTCTCCTGATTTCAGCTGAGCAACAAATTCATCTGAATTTGAACTGAAAAGGAATAATTAGATTTTCTGACTGTTCTGTCAATGTCCTATATGGGAACCATGCAGTTTATGGAGAATGTGTTAGGGTAATGATAATATCCAGCATTCCAAATATTTTTAAGTATTCAAGATGTTTTTCTTAAATCTCAAGATTCCTTCAGTTGTGCTTGCAAGCTAAGTACTTCCCCACCTCCACCCCAATACATTAGGTGAGGCTGAAGCTTAAGATACAGTGGTTGGTTTAAGGTCTGTTAGTAATCTCTGAATCTAGTACTTTCTTTCCCATAAATCACAATCTTCATCTGTGTGCTATAGTACTTCTCAGCTGAGAGTGTAGAAATACAGTACAGTATATGAGTATTCCTTGGAATCAAGAGCTATTAATCTCTATTCTTTGTGGCTGTTTTAAATGCTTATAATGTGGGGTTAGCATTTCTAAATATAAATTCATAAATATTTATTATAAAAAGTGATACAACTTACTCTTCCATTCATCTACTGTTACATCCTCTATAAGTCCACAGTAGTCTTTGACTTCTTACAAGAAGTGAGAGAAAACCTTAAACCACAGTGAGATCCTGCTTTGCAGTCTTGTCTTGCAGGATGAGTGTACGCCATAGTTAGCCAGTCCCAATAGTCTGCCATAATCATGGCTTCTCACAAATCAGGAAGTAAATGGGGTTTGTTACAAACTATAATTTTGAAAACTGTTTGCCACAAACCTGAGAACAGCTCATTAACAGAAGAAGAGAACATGTAAGTATAGTGCCCACCTCCACAATATCAAATCAGAACTTGATGTGACCTGACCTAGCAGTTAATTTCTCCACTCTTACCTTATTCTGCTACCACTGATTGTTGTTCCATCTTGGAATAAAAGTATGAAGTAAAAAACTGAGTCTTGTAGCTGCTTATGAAGTGTTTCTTGCCCACTAGAGAACATGGGAGAAGATGGATGAAATAGGAGAAATGCTCTGATACTGGGGGAAGAAATGCTTATTATATTAGCCTTTCTCTAGATGAATCACCTACATAACAGTGTATGTAGTTGTCCAAAGAAGTCTAAATGTCTCTTCTTTTAATGCTAAATACAAAGCATGGCATCTTCTTTCTCAGTTCTTCTCATGAGAAGTGGTATCAATGAAGAAGTCATTAAACATGAAATCTAAGAATGAACCTGTGGAACTTGCTTTTAAATAAATTCTAATCCCGGATGTAACTGCACTATTGAAGCTGGATTCACGCACACATGAAGTCTTGGTGCTCTTTGAGCTTGGTAGTTTCGTTACAGATGTTTTATTATACAATTAGGTAACATCAATGCTATCATCAGACATATGGAATCTTTGGTTTGGCTTAGAATGTACTGTGAACCCAACCACTGTGTTTATAAACCATGTTTTTGGTTAAGATTATATGTGAACCCATCTATGATGGCTTATTCAACAGAGAATAGGTAATAAGCCATGGTTTAGCACATTGTTGGTGTTTGGGGAGGGTGTCACATATACATGACTGATGCAAATTACATAATTCATAACATTTGTGTAATTAGCATCATGGCATATGAGACATTATTGTGGCATTAACAAACATATGAGCCCAGGATGATGCATGAACTCTGCTCATGATTCTTAATGAATGACCGGATTCTGGAGTCAAAACGTTAGTTGAGAGCAGCTGGATGGTTAGGATCATTTTTCCCAACTGGAGAATAATGAAATCAATAGGAGAAATTAAGAAAAACCTAAGCATTCACTACTTAAGAACATGCTGCCACCAATTTATCAGCTATGTCAGAAACTCAGACATTTGACATTTTCAGTTTTTGATGTCACTGCCTGTTTGTGTGTATTTGCTGACACAGTTCAAAATATGATGTCCTTTGCCACCTGTTATTCATTTGAAGAAAGCTGCATGGCAACTGAAGGACCCAAAGCTGTTGCAGTGGTTTCATCTGTAATTTGTGTAGATCTCAGTCCGTATCTTCCATACACCCCTTTTCCAACACAGCTTTCCCCCAAATGATATAGAATAAGGAGGGGGTGGCATTATATTGGCTAAGTTGTTGGACTAGGATGGAAGAGATCCAGGTTCAACTCACCTTCAGCTGCGGAAACGTTCTGGGCAACTTGGCCCAGTCACTCTTTCTCAACCGAACCTTCCTTACAAGCTGGTTGTTATGTGGCTAAAATAAAGGGAGCAAGCATATTAACTAATATGTATAGGTAACAGTAATAACAACAACAATGTCATGAAACTGATCTCTTAATTTAATTTTCTTCCCCAGTTTTTCTTCCTCGTTTTCAGATTGCTTTAGAACATCTTTAGAATTCCTTTTGATTATGTTTTTATGTTGATTTCATTTTTGAGTTTATCTCATCATTGCAGGTTATTGAAGATACCTGTTTTGTTATTATTCATCTGCTTGAGCTCTTTTTCTCATGTTGCCATCCTCAACTTGAATCATGGAACCCAGGAAGGATGCTGGCCACTGGAGAGCTAATGATATAATGAAGAACAAGAGACTTACAAACACTCCTTGACCACCTTGCAATCAAGGTAAGTACACAAACCTCAAAAGCCACTTTTCTGGGTTTTACAGATATGTTTGTCTCCTTTAAAGAAATGCAGTACAATTTATTTTCCATCTAATTGCAAGAGAATGGTAGAAAAAGAGTTCTTCAAATGAGTACTTGTTAAACAAACAATTTTGAAAATGGCCAATTTAAAAATTTGGCTCTTTCTTATAATCTAATGCTGCCCCTCATAAGCTAGAAACCAGGAACAACTAGAAGTCATCAAGCTGGAAGATGGAACAAGCTGAACAATTGCCAGCATTGCTGCTGGATATGGGTCATGATTTATGAGGAGCCTTTCTTATTTGATGTCTGTCACAAACAATACAACACTCTTCAGACATTTGCAAGGTGTATAAGCTTGACAAAGGGAGGAAGGACCAACATGACCCCTCTATTCTCTTTTCACTGCCTTCCACATGTACACAGCAACTCGGCACTTTGTATGTCTGTGTGCATGCACAATTCTATGCTTCTATGCATGAAAGCTTGTTCTGAGGTTTAGAATCCTAGGCATTAAAAGCCCATGCTCTGTCATAAACCCTCTCCCAGAGTCTGAAAGCTCAGAGTGAGGACACAGTCTTATTTTACATCAACTGATTCTGCAAACTAGATCCAGATTTATCTCATTTGTGAACATTCTGTCAGAGACAAAGTCCATCTGAGAACATACAACCACACTTCCTTCCTGTAAAATTGGAACAAATAGCAACTTGGGAGAGAAGAAGGTGGGGCTGGGGGGTAGATATGCCTGGGAGAAAGTTAAATCCTGTCATGTGGTTAAAGATGCATCATCTTTGAACTACAGTGATCATGCTCACTAAACCAGGCTCTATTACCATAATTTTCTCCAGGTTCTTGTTCTCAATTGCCTTCTCCTTGTCTTTTGTTCTACTATCATTTCTCTGCCTTGCTGGTGAAACATCTGGACTTAATCACTTCATTGATCATACCAAATTGTCAGTTCTCAGACCACTACTGGGCAAATTTCCATGCAGTAATTCAGCATCAGACAAGAACTCATAATACTATTGTGCTGGATGCAAAAAATGACTTTGTTGCCAGGTTGTTATATTCTGGGGAAAAATTGCTACACCTATGAAACATCAGCTCTGGAAATAGCTCAAGTGTTTATTCCTCTATGATTCGGCGGGGGGTGCGGGTGGGGAGGCTGGTCTATATAAAAAGAAAATCTTAGTCTTCATGTTTGTTCTTTATATTTCTCTGAAGGATTAAAGCTGAAAACCAAAGCTTTATGGGAATCCACACAAACAAAATGAGAGAGACAAATGCTTATGGGAGCATTTGCACCATCATGCACAGTTTAGCTTTCTTTGGACTCTGAATCATAGTAGGTTTCATCACCAAATACGTTTTTCAATGTATCTTTTCCAGGAGTAGTTTTCCTTTTATCAAAGTTCTGTGTTTATGGGATGCCCCCCCCCCCAAATATTCAACAGCTCTTTTGGAGCTAAATTAGATTCACCAAACAAATATAGGCCATGAATCATATTCTATGGCCCTTTGTGTCTTCCCCAGGTGAACATCAAAGCCACAAGATCTATTGAATCCCTTTTGCATCACTGTATTTACTTGCTGCATTTTGTTTATCTTGTTCACAAATTGAGCAAATCAGATCTAAACTTTCTTCTAAAGTTTGTCTCTGAAATGGAGTTATTTTTTAAATCACATAGAACAGAATATAACATCAATATTAGCTTATAGAAAAGCCCATAAGCATAATGTACCTTCAGTTATGTGTCTCTTACAAAGTTCTTGAGATTGGAGAGAGTCAAAAAATCATGAGGCTCAATCTTTCTCTGAAAAGCAACCCAGCAATTCCTAACATGCTTTCATTTAGGTCAGCCCATACGATTGCAGGGCAGAAAAATAAATGTTTGTTATTAGCAGAACAAGGAATTCCAGATGGCTCAAGCATGCTTACTTTCTCATGGAAAGTAAGGGCACAAAATTAGAAAGAAGTCAACTTGACTTAAAGTTGTTTTCCAATCTCTATATAGCAATTCATCTCTGAAAAAGATCCTTCCCCAAGTCTCAGAATCCCCGAGTTGATGGAAACCATTTAGGACTGAGTCCAACCCCTATTGAATGCACAATTCCCTGCAATAGATTCTGTTTTCTCAGAGACCTTGTTCCAATAAATCAACACCCAACTCAATGGAAGTTGAACCCTTCCGTTTGTGGCTTTCAAAATTATCAGAATTCTTCCAATCATTATCTGTGGTCCAAAGATTGCAGCTCAGTGCTCAGCACGTGTTTCACATGCATGAGGTCCAATTCTTGTCTTCTTCAGAGAGGGTTGGGAAAGACTGCAGCCTAAACCTTGGAGAACTGCTACTTATCAATCTAAACAATACTGAGCTATGTCCACCAGAGACCTGACTCATTATAAGACTGGTTCCTGAGTTTCTAAACAGATAAGAAGGTCTAACAGCTAATAGAACTCAAGAAGTCCTGAACAAACTTGTCGTTCAATCTTGAATGACCTCGGTGATATACTTGGGAGAAAGATGTGTGTGTATGTTGGGAGACACATAAAGAAACCTTTTATTAAAATCCCCCCATCACAATGAAGAGAGGATATGGGGATTTCCCTACATTTAGTGGCATCTCTTTATCTCTGGAAATAGTTCAGTCATGCCTGTCAGTGTAACAACTTATCCTGAAGGCTTTAAAAGCACATCTTTCTTCTATTCTTGCAATGTAATTTTTTTTTCTCCTGAACTGCATTATGACAGAGGTTCTGTTGTTGCTGTAATATCCATGCAGAAGTAGAATTACCACCCAAATACCATGAGATTCCCATCCTCCTTGTTCTCAGTCCCTTGTGGAAGAAGTGAAGGCCTCAGAGGCTTGCATACAATTTTTGCCAATGAATTCCCCTTCTGATTTCCAGCAGGATTGTTTCAGTTCCACATTAGTTGTTGTTGTTTAGTCGTTAAGTCATGTCCAACTCTTCATGACCCCATGAACCATATCGCACCAAGCCTTCCTGTCCTTCACTGCCTCCCT